TCAGCGTAACAGTCTAGGCTTAGCATCATGCTTTTGAAAGACATATCTAATGGACGAATGATCGGTATAGAGAATAACCTTCGAAAGAATGATGTAAGTCCTAAACTTCTCTAAAGCACAAACAATAGCAAGAAATTCTTTTTCAGTGGTGGTGTAATTGAGTTGTGGCCCTGATAGAGTTTTGCTAACGTAGTAGATTGGGTGGAAGTTGTTGTCCTTCCTTTGGCCAAGAATGGCCCCCACTACTAAGTCACTAGCGTCACACATGAGTTCAAAAGGTAAACTCCAATCCTGGGCCACAAGCACCGGAGCATTGATCAGTTGTGTTTTAAGTGCTTGGAAAGCATGGTGACATTCATCAGAGAATATAAAAACCGCATATTTTTCAAGTAACTGGGTTAGAGATTTTGTGATTTTAGAGAAATCCTTTATAAAACGACGATAAAAGCCCGCGTGTCCTAAGAAACTGTTTCTCTATTGTTTCAATTTTTGTACGGTCAACCTCGACCCTGTTACTTGACACTTTATGTCCAAGTACTATACCCTCTTTCACAAGGAAATGACATTTCTCCCAACTTAAGGCTAAGTGGGTTTCCTTGAAGCAGATTAGTACTTTTTCCAGGTTTTCAAGGCATTTTTCAAACATTTCCCCAAAAATAGAGAAGTCATCCATGAATACCTCCATGAAGTGGCTAATGTATTTTTCAAAAATGGCAATCATGCACCTCATGAAGGTGGCAGTGGCATTACAGAGACCAAAAGATATCCTACCAAAAGCAAAGGTCCCAAAAGGGCATGTAAACATAGTTTTGTCTTAGTCTTCTAGGTTGACATGGATTTGGAAGTATCCACTCATGCCATCCAGGAAACAATAATGACTATGGCCTGCCTACCTCTCTATTAATTGATCGATGAAGGGGAGGGGAAAATGGTCTTTCAAGGTGGCTTCTGATGTGAGTTTTCTCGCACTTAAAAATGTAGTAGAATAGTGGTTGAAAGTACGAGTATCGTCTCCACAGGGACGGGCAAAAGGGAATTAAAGATTAACTAAATTCAGCGATTAAAAAGAAATAAAATAAAATAAAATGCAATTGTGGGAGATTGATTGGTTTGGAAAATTAAACTAATGCTAAGGAGCAATAAAATAAAAGATTGGTTTCTTCTCAATTAACGACGAAGGGAACAAGGATTGATTCCGGGGTAACCAGATTTCTGGCAGAACATGTCTAATTACATGAAATTAATTTAATTGCGCCTAGTTAATCATTACTAAGTTCTTACCGCTCTCGCGGCGTATAGTACAATAATTTAGGGGACCAGACTGATCTCTCATGCGACAGAATCCTAAATTATTGCCAAGACGAGCAAGCTTACGACCCCTTAATCGCTACTAATCTCTTAGCGAACGATTAAGTGTGTGTGAATATGTCCTAGAATAAACTAGATCTCTCTTAATTTATTCTACAGGCAATTGTAATTCTAGCCGCGGTTCCAGGTTACAAAAGATATCAATTAAATTATTCAAACACAAATTAAACGACATTCATGCAATTAAACCAACAAGAATCTAGCCATCAATCATGATTAACCCCTTCATCAACCCCAAATCCCTAATTAAACTACTCACAATTCCTAATTGAAGAATCAACAGAATTAGGATGAATAGAAATAATTGTCATTAATTAAATATATGAACTTACAAATAATCCCAGGGTCTTGGAGTAAAATAGCGGAAAACAATGAATAAATTCGTCCCTAGGCCTCTCCGTAATGTTCGTAACACTTAAGCAGGAGAAGGGAGACCTTATTTATCGAAAACAGATGAGTTTACGCTGAACTGGGACTAAAAAGAGGCTGAAATCCGCGTTTCGGGGGTACGCACGATTGTGCGTACCCTGCCACGCACGATCGTGCGTGGCTAGCAGTAGCATCGTTGCTTTCTCGCCTCAGACGCACGATTGTGCGTTCCCCTATGCACGGCGTGCGTCAAACTTCCGAATTGGACAAAACTTCCTTCATGAAAGTTGTATATAATGAAGTCCTCTATCCACCTCAACTTGCGGAATTGAATTTGAATCATCCAATCAAGAGATATGATCAAAATGGTGGAAGGTCTCATTCTGAAATCTCAACAGCGATCATCCGACTTCATCGTCTGCTTTCACCTTTCTCCTCTCATATTTTCGAAATGGTGTCTTCATATGATTTGTAGACCTTGAAGTTGGATTTCATATGGAACTTGAATCGTGTCCTTTGGATGTTTATACAAAGAGATATGGTTGAACGAGTGACAGAAGGTCATCCTGATCGTCTTTTTCCAGCTTCATTCATCTTCTTTTGATCCCGTAGCCTATCCTAGAGCTCTTTTGTCATCAAATCTTCATCGTAAACCTCCCGGTGACTTTTAAAGCTCTCAAATCACTCTCGAATGCTTCTAAACTCGTCCTGATTTCTCCTCAAGTGCCGGTGCCAAACTCTAAAATCTTGATTTTGATTCCATATGACACAAAACTCGAACCAACGCCTGGTAAACAAAACTTGAGCTAAAATTGAGACTTGTAACACCTTAATGTTAGGAAAACCATCAAAAGCTGGTCCCAACACACATCAAATGCGTGTCTAAATACGGACTTATCAGCTTCGTTCAGTCTGCGGTTATCAATTACCATTCGCCACCCGGTAACAGTTCGACTGGGTAGAAGTTCGCCCTTTTCATTTTTCATGACAGTCATTCCCCCCTTTTTGGGGACAAAATGAATCGGGCTTACCCACTGGCTATCAGAGATGGGGTAAATGATACCCGCATCCAACAGTTTGACAATTTCGACATGCAATACTTCCATCATGTTTGGGTTTAAACGTCGTTGTGGTTGGACAACTGGTTTAAACCCTTCCTCAATCTTGATGGTGTGGGTACAAAAGGTGGGGATTATTCCATTGATGTCCTCAAGTGTCTAAGCAATTGCTTGCTTGTGTGTCTTAAGGACTCCAAGTAATTTGCCCCTTTGTTCCTCACTTAAGTGTACGACGATGACAACAGGGCAATTGCCTTCGTCATCCAAAAATGCATATTCTAAGTGTTCGGGTAGTTTGTTTAGTTCGAGGGGGTGGTCATTTTTTAAGTTTTATTCATTTTTCTCCCCCTCAAACTCAGTCAATACTTCGTGAGAAGCTTGATCAATTAGCGCATCCTCACAACTCTCACATGCATCACTCACGTCACTGCTGGCTTCTTTTAACAAACATGCTTCATCAGTTACATGTCTATACTCTTCCCAAACATATACCCTTCAATAGATTCAAAGATATCAAGAAAATGACATCCTTGAAAGGAATCAGTGGGGTGTTTCATAACATCTGAGAGTCGGAAGGTGCTTAGATCATCTCCGATTATTAAAGTTAATGAGCCACCAGTGACATCAATCAAAGCCCTGGCGGTAGCCAGAAAGGGCCTTCCCAGAATAAGAGGTGTTTCCCTATCCTCTTCCATGTCCATTACTACAAAGTCGACTGGGAAAATGAATTTGTCAACCTTGACCAAGACGTCTTCAACAATTCCTTTCGAATATTTGACTGAGCGATCAACCAGTTGAAGATGCATACTGGTGGGTTTCATTTCCCCAAGTCCTAGCTTCTCAACTATAGAGGAAGGCATCAGATTGATACTTGCCCCTAAGTCAGCTAAAGCATTATTGAAATTGAAATTGTCTATAGAGCAAGGGATAGTGAAACTACTTGGATCCTTTAGCTTTTCGGGTATTGAACTTAGAACCACGACTGAGCATTTTGCGTTCAAGTCCCCGACTGAGAGCTCCTGTAATTGTCTCTTGTTTGTCAGCAAGCCCTTGAAGAACTTGGCATATTTGGGCATCTCCGCTAGGGCATCCATCAGTGGCAGGTTGACGTGGAGTTGTTTGAGTAGGTGCAGAAATTTGTTATATTTCTTGCTATCGTCATCATTTCTAACCTGTGAAGGAAACATGAGAGAAGGTTTGACGATAATGACCTTTGTGTTAGGGCGTGTTGGTTCCATGCTCTTCTCAGTTAAAGCATCAGTTTGTTTCTCAGGTTCCAAGGTCGGAGTATCCCCCTCTTCTTTGTCTTTCTGCTCAGCCTCGGCTATTTGTCTCCCACTTCAGAGAGTGATAGCTTGCACATGTTCACGAGGATTTGGTTCCGTAGTGCTATGCAAGTTGCCTAGCTGACGACCGGGAACATTATTCCGAGTAATTTGCATCATCAGAGATTTGATCTGATTGTCGGTGCTAGCCTTGTATCTTGTCATTTGTTCCCGTGTCCTTGCGAGTTCTGCTACCAGCAAGCCTATCTCTGATGTTTGAGCAACCTCCGTTTGTGTTTGGTGTGGAGGCACATAAACTTGATTGTTGTTGTTTTGTTCGCTTAGTGCACATCCCTGGTTCCGACCTTGGAAGTTGTTGCCTTGATTATCGTTGGGGTAGTTCTAGTTACCTTGGTAACCGCCGCGAGGAGGACCATTGTTGTAATCCCCCGCCATTGGTTACCTTGGTAATTCCCCCCTTGATAATTCTGAGGAGTGTAGTTGGTGTTACCCCCCATTGTTGCCTTGATTCGCCCATGGCCCTTCTTGTTTTGATGACTGTAAATTTTTTACAGTAGTTTTTAAATAAGGAATTTTTATTTATCAAAAATAATTTTGTTTTTGAAAAATACTCTCTCCGTCCCGAAAAGGTTTGACGAATTTTCTTTTTTGGATGTTCCAAAAAGATTTGCCATTTCCATTTAAAGTAACAAATATTTGACTAAAGTTAATTATCTCTCAATTACACAAATTTCAACCACACAATTTTTACTTTATTAATCCACGTGAAAGTCAAAATTGAAGAACCTTTTCGGAACATAGGGAGTATCAATTATCATTATGGTCAATATGCAAGTCAAACAAAAAAAAACTTACACAAGTAAGACAATTATGGCCAAGATTTTGTGGGCCTAGATTTTTTTCAACTTTGTGAGTCCCGAGGCAATGCCTATTTGCCTCGTACAAAGGTTCGGCCCTCCTTTTGTGAAAATTGAAAAACCCTAAAGCTTCTTGTTGCCCTGATACATCATTTCTCGCCTATATATACTCTCAAAGTGATCAGAATCATCCCTGCTTTGTATACTCTTCTCTTTGCCCGGCCGCACATTCACTCATCTAAAGGTTAGTTAGATTCATAAGATTTCGTAATAATTTATGAGTTCCGCGTATGTATACAAGCATTTCATGTGGTCTCAATATGTTAACCGTGTTTTCTTTGTGAATCAAGCTGTTCGCTTTGTTTTTTATTTCGATAGTAGTAGAAATGGCGTTTAAGTACGTGTATCTCCTGAATGTTTTTTTTCTGATCGAGATCTTTGTTACTCGCGCTATTACTAGGTCAGAGTTATTGTTGAGATTTTCTCTGTATTCCTTGTTCAGAAAGTCTGGAGTATTGTAAATCCGTGGTTGATTTTAAATAGACGTGTGAGAACCAACAATTTTGAAGATCTCGATGTCTTTTGTTATCTCATCTCTGTTTGTAAGTTATATTTTTCACTGGCATGATTTTGTTGTAATCCATATTGAGAAATAGATGGTTAGTTTTAATTTGATGTGTAAGATTTGCTCTGTTCTGAAGATCAAGGTGTCGTTTGTTATGTCATCTAAGTCATAAAATATTTTTCAAACACTGTATTGTAGACTTTGAAATACATTTTGTAAAAGCTTTTTTATATTATTCTCTATGTAGTTTATTAGTCGTTGGTCAAGTTATTAATTGGAAATCATGATTACAACAATCTGTAACTCTATTTTAATTTCTATTTGCTTACAGGTGCCATAATCCACCATGGGTAAGGAAAAGGTTCACATTAGCATTGTTGTCATTGGCCATGTTGACTCTGGGAAGTCAACCACCACTGGTCATTTGATCTACAAGTTGGGAGGTATTGACAAGCGTGTGATTGAGAGGTTTGAGAAGGAGGCAGCTGAGATGAACAAGAGGTCCTTCAAGTACGCATGGGTTCTTGACAAACTCAAGGCTGAACGTGAGCGTGGTATCACAATTGATATTGCTTTGTGGAAATTCGAGACCACAAAGTACTACTGCACTGTCATTGATGCTCCTGGACATCGTGACTTCATCAAGAACATGATTACTGGAACCTCTCAGGCTGATTGTGCTGTTTTGATCATTGATTCCACCACCGGTGGTTTTGAAGCTGGTATTTCCAAGGACGGTCAGACCCGTGAACATGCTTTGCTTGCTTTCACTCTTGGTGTGAAGCAAATGATTTGCTGCTGCAACAAGGTTTCATTTATAAACTATCAATTTTTAGTTCCAAATGATTTAATAATTTATATATTAATTTTAATAGTATTCCGTTATGTCAAACAACTTTTGCTGATTATCTCTTGATGTTTAATTTGTAGATGGATGCCACAACCCCGAAATATTCGAAGGCTAGGTATGAGGAAATTGTGAAGGAAGTGTCATCCTACCTGAAGAAGGTCGGATACAACCCTGACAAGATCCCCTTTGTTCCAATCTCTGGTTTTGAGGGTGACAACATGATTGAGAGGTCAACAAACCTTGACTGGTACAAGGGCCCAACCCTTCTCGAGGCTCTAGACCAGGTCAACGAGCCGAAGAGGCCATCTGACAAGCCCCTCCGTCTACCTCTTCAGGATGTCTACAAGATTGGTGGCATTGGTACTGTACCTGTTGGCCGTGTTGAGACAGGTGTGATTAAGCCCGGTATGGTGGTCACTTTTGGGCCAACTGGTCTGACCACTGAAGTGAAGTCTGTTGAGATGCATCATGAGTCTCTTCCAGAGGCACTTCCTGGTGACAATGTGGGATTCAATGTTAAGAATGTTGCTGTCAAGGATATCAAGCGTGGCTATGTTGCGTCTAATTCCAAAGATGACCCTGCCAAGGAAGCTGCCAGTTTCACCTCACAGGTCATCATCATGAACCACCCTGGTCAGATAGGAAATGGCTATGCCCCAGTTCTCGACTGCCACACCTCCCACATTGCTGTCAAGTTCTCTGAAATATTGACTAAAATTGATAGACGGTCCGGTAAGGAGCTTGAGAAGGAGCCGAAGTTCTTGAAAAATGGAGATGCTGGGATGGTGAAGATGGTTCCCACCAAGCCCATGGTTGTGGAGACCTTTGCTGAGTACCCTCCTCTTGGTCGTTTTGCAGTGAGGGACATGCGGCAAACTGTTGCTGTTGGAGTCGTCAAGAGTGTGGAGAAGAAAGATGCTACTGGTGCTAAGTTTACCAAGTCCGCAGTGAAGAAGAAATGAATTGTGTTTTTGCTTCCTCCCAATGTGTTGCTTTGGTTAATGTGTTGTCCTTTAATACCTCATTTTTTTGGTGCCAGTTCTCAGAATTGGGTACTGGATAGGCGATGGCGAGACATTACTTTTCTGTTGGACCTTATTTTGTGAGTATTTTTGTATTGGGTGCCCTTTGCTATCTTTAAGTCAGTGGCTCTCAGAGTTTTGTTGTCTTTTACGGAGTAGTTTATGACCTTTATGTTGGACTTTAATGGAAATGTATGTCTGGTTTCCTAGCTTATACTCTATGTTATAATGTGTATGTTTGAGCTGTGTAGTTCATGAAGGGCATATCTATAGTTCTATATAGTAAACTTGAGTTGTAAACAGATGACGTGTCACAATCTTATTGGTTAACAATAATTTATTATCACTATTATTAAAAGTTTAATTACTCCCAATTTACACGGTGCAACACTATTATTACGCCTAATATGGGGCATTTTTTTCTGGAACAGTACAATTAGTTAGAAGTTCAATTGCATTACAAATATAGTATAGGCTGTACAGCCATCACGCAAGATGAGTAAAATAGGAAGAGGGAGTAGATTAGATTACTGCTCCATATAAGAAAACAAAATTTTATCTATATATTTTTTCCGGGAATTCTAATACATGTAAGCGTTTTTATTCTTTTCATCTTTGATTACATAGGAGTTTTCTTTTGAAAAAAAATTATTCGTCTGGTAAATGTCTGGTCTTTGTGTATTTTATAACCATGGAAGTCTGATATGATCTGATATGATTTGGTCTGGTATGATCTGATCTGGTCTGATATCGAAAACTGTCCAAAAGAAAACACATATAATCAACAAGTAACATAAGTGACGAAAATTAAAGGTATAACTAAAATAGTTTTTAACGAGTTTCCACTTTTCTACTGATGTTTAAAATAACTATGAGGGATTACGTTTTTTTTCCATTGTGTATTATTATTATTTTTTATCATCCATTGTGTATAGTAAAAAAATGCCTTTTATTCTTTAATTTTAGGTAGTTTATAGCATTTAATAAATCAAATTAACTGACGTGTCAATCCATTATTGGTTACTAAGAATTCTGATATCACTCTTATTAAAACATTTGATTAGTATCGCAAATGAGTGTCACAAGGGTTAGGTCCCGGGTTCGAATCCCAACAACTGTGATGAGAGGTTACTATGCTAAAAAATGCATATGGCCTCTTCAAGTACCGGGGACAGAGCCACACTCTCTATCTATCAGATTGTGATTATAGTCCAATTTACATCCTCCTAACGTACCGTCCGGTCGGTGTTGGGGGGCCCTCAGGGATGGGGTGTCATCCTTTTTTTATTAGTATCGCAAGTTCACACAAACACACGATCCATCACTAACTATTTACCTTAATTAGGCCAACTCATTTGGAGAAAAGGGAAGAGAAGAAATCTCTTATTTTTAGAGTGACATAATTTTTTTATTTGTACTCCATTTTTTATAAAAAGAATGTATCAAATTTCATAAATCTTTATCATCTTTCATATGACATCAATATTACATATGTAAAATAAGAAAAAAATGAATATCCAATTGATGGAGATTATAGTTCTAGAATTTTTAGGTCAATAAAGACCAGTAAATTCTGATATCAAAATTAAGATTTCGTAATTACATTTTACATTTTTGAGGTATCTTTTCAAAAAAACAAAATCTAAAACACCAAATTCCTTAATTATTATATATTGTTCTATTACTTCTATTTAGTAAACACCGGATTCATTTTACAATCACTGTTTAATTTGTTAAATGATGCAAATGCTCATATAATATAAAAAATAATTCATACTTTTACATTACAACATTTAATTAATTTATAACATCTAAATAATATGCTTAATTATTGATTGAATTTTGCATTACATCACATGGTAAATTATCTTCCAATTTCAGTACTTTAATCCTATGCATAAATACACTAAGTTTATAGTGTGAGTAAGGACATTATGATATGGAAACATGATAACAAAATGCATATAACATAACACAGTCACGAATAACAATAATGCACTCTCATCGTCTCAACGAAACCCAACAAAACCACAATGTGACTGCAACATGGGTAGGTCAAGATTGCATCACGTGTTCCGGTTGCAATAATATTGCGGTTTCATTTTGTAGCGCAACTGCATCGAGCCGCAATGCAGGTGAGATTTCAATTCACGCGGAAAATCTACTACGTAACCCAACGAAATCGCAACGGGGGCATGTCGGATGGTATCAAGACATCAATATCAATTATTTTATTATTTCGGTTGAACGTAAAATTAAATTACACCGCATCAGTTGCAATTAGCATTGCAACGACCACAATAGCCGCAACCGCAGTGACCACAATCACAACGCTGCCACAATAAAAAAAAACCTTGATATATAATAAATAGAAAAATATATAATATATGAAGCTGGATAATTTAATATATAGTCATTTAACAAATAAAAGTCTATTATTATTTGTGATTAGATCATAGTAAAAATGCATTATATTAAACTTTGGATCTTATGAATAATTTACAATATCGATATGTATTTTTCATTTTAACTCATATCAAAATGACGCGCTACCGGGGCATTGCCCCGGGTTTTACACTAGTTTTGTGTATTCTTATATTTAGGGGAGGCGGGTGGAAGTACAATAACTAACATGCTAGGAAAGTGTCGAGTTTAATGTCCTTCGCAATCTTTATCTGTAGGAAATTAGGAAAGAGAAACCAATCTATCAATAATAACAATGCAAGTGTGCTTTGGTGGGTTAATACGCACACAAGTAAAAAAGCCTTGAAAACAAAATCCATCGGTTACCACTTTTTACTGAACTTATGATACCATTTTGAAAAATCCGGAAGATATTGTAGTAGAAATTGACACATGTGAGAACATGATCGTTTATGTAGCAAGTGAGTCAAAATGTAACAGATGCATTTTTTAATCTAAAAAAAAGTTTGCTTGTTAAAAATATCATCATGGTAATTGGTGAGTTCTTAAAAACGAACTAAAGCTGAGAGCTGGTAGTATAATAAAAACATTGAAGTACGTATCAGGTTTAAAACTTCAGCTATGGTTACAAGACACGTAAATTTAGAGATAGAGAATTAATTAAAAAAAATAACCAAGACATAATAAGAAACTCTGTGTATTTTAGAACTGTCCAAGTCTAATCTGGTCTGTATAAGCCTAGTCTGTTTAAGTCTGGTCTGGTTTGGGATTGAAATTAGTCCAAAAGAAAACATCCTAAGAGGAGTTATTTGGGAAAACTTACCCATGAAAGAACTCTAAAAGGAGTATGTAGGCATCTGTCTTTCTATATATATAGTACTCTTCCGGTCAGGAATTCCTGACCGGAACCGCCGTCCGGACGGCGGCGTTTGGCCGCTTTTCGGGTGGAATTTTCTGATGAAATTTTTGTTACATGTTCTCCATCAAGTCTAGTTTATCCACAAACAAATTCAGCCAAAAACTCAATTGGGAAGGTCGTCAAATGATTTTTGCAAGTTAACTGGTCCGGAATATGTATTTTCCGGAATATGTATTTTCCGAACAAGTTAACTTGCAAAAATCATTTGACGACTTTCCCGAATGAGTTTTTGGCTGAATTTTTGTGTGGATAAACTAGACTTGATGGAGAACATGCCATAAAAATTCCATCAAAAAATGCCACCGGGAAGGTGTCCAAACGCCGCCGTCTGGACGGTGGTTCCTGTCCGGAATTCCGGACATGAACATTTGTGTGTGTGTGTGTGTGTGTGTGTGTGTGTGTGTGTGTGTGTGTGTGTGTGTGTGTGTGTGTATCAAGAATGCGTTGAAAAGGACACAAGTCAGAGAAGAAACTAAGAGGGGGATAGCTGGTTCTCGGCGAATTTCAAATATGAGACTCCCCAACCTTTGTTTTATCTGTGGAATGTTGGGCCATACCGATCGCTATTGTCCATCTAATACCAGTTCGGGGTCGTGGGGGTGAGAAGCCTTATGGACTTTGAATGGGGGTAGATATGCGGTGTGGGGGATTCATCTAAGGAATAAATGGCTGGTCCCGTGATGTGTGTTTTCTCGCACTTAAAATAGATTGTAATATAGTGGTGTAAGTACGAGTATCGTCTCCACAGGGACGGACAAAAGGGAATCAAAGATTAACTAAATTCAGCGATTAAAAAGAAATAAATAAAAATGTGTCGTGCGAGATTGGTTGCTGGAAAATAAAAATGCGAATAAAACGATTAAACTAGGGGGTTCTTTCTAATTAATGACGAAGGGAACATGGATTGATTCCGGGGTAACCGGATTTCTGGCTGATCAGACCTAATTACATGAAATTAATTCAATTGAGCCTAGCTAATCATTACTAAGTTCTTACCGCTCTCGCGGCGTAGAGTACAATAATTTAGGGGACCAGACTGATCTCTCATGCGACAGGATCCTAAATTTACGGCCCCTAAATCGCTACTAATCTCTTAGCGAACGTATAAGTGTGTGTGAAGGTGTCCTAGAATAAACTAGATCTCTCTTAATTTATTCTACATGCAATTGTAATTCTAGCTGTAGCCTAGGTTACAAGAGATATCAGTTAAATTCTTCAAACACAAATTAAACGACATTCATGCATTTAACCCATGAAATATCTATCTGTACATCATGATCAACCCCTTCATCAACCCCAAATGCCTAATTAAAACTACTCACAATTCATAATTGAAGAATCAATAGAATTGGAATAAAAAGAATTAATTGTCATTAATTAAAAAGGTGGAACTTACAAAGAATCTCAGAATATTGATGAACAAGGCTGAAAAGCCCTCTAAAATTCGTGCTAGGCACTCTCTCTAAGCTCCCCCTCGAAAACGGGAGTTTACAAGCTGTTTAAATAGAAAAATCGGGTGAAAGTTGAGCTGAATTGGAATTTTCGGAGGCAGGCACGGTGCCAGGCACGATCGTGCCTCCAGAGCAAAAACGCGCATTTTGGGCAGGCACGATCGTGCCTGGCTGGCAGTAACTCCGCGGTGCTTTTCTCTTCAGGCACGATCGTGCCTGACTTTGAGAGCACGATCGTGCCTACTTAACTTCCGAGTTTGGCAATGCTTCCTTCATGAAAGTTATAGATAATGAAGTCCTCTATCCACCTCAATTTTCCGAATGTGATGTGAATCATCCAATCAAGTGATATGATCAAAACGGTGGATGGTATCATTCTGAAATCGCAGCAGAGATCATCTGACTTCATCGTCTATTTTCACCTTCTTTGTCTTAGATTCTCGCAAAGGTGTCTTCATATGATTTGTATACCTTGAAGTTAGCTTTCATATGGAACTTGAATCGTGTACATTGGATGTTTCTACAAAGAGATATGCTTGAACGATTGACA